TCAGCTACAAAAACATCAGTGACCATGTCGAGGTACTAGTATACTGTATACACAGTTTTAAGTTGTTTATCGAAACGTTCACATTGGGAAAGTCTTTCGGAATACGAACTAAATATTTGCTTTACGTTATATATTTATGTAGTAATTGCATCCGCATATACAATATACAATATACAATCGATTATCATGTACACAAGAGTAAATGGTGTTACAACATAATATTGTTTCTGATTTATGACCATAGTGATGTCACAAGGAACGTGCTTAACTCATTACCGGTTAATTTTGATTTTCCCTGTTTTATTTATCACAAAATGTTCAATTCATAATGCGTTAGATTATAACTTGATAAAAAGTATTCAAGATTTCGGCACTTAAAGGTAATGGTTTACGTAATTGGGTAAGACTGAATGTATGAAATGTATTCCTCCGAGAACAAGAAACAAAGTGTGACGATTACATAATAACTTCCATTTAGTTTCCTTTACTTGTTGGTAAAAAACATTCTCTACATTTTTTTTCCAGCTAACACTAAATGCTGTACGTATGGATATATGCCACGAGAGTTTTGACATTGCCTTTATTGCTTATTTCACATGCAAATATTATGTCCAGCCACAGTTACCCATCATCAATCCATATTCATGTTTAATGTTTGAACCGAACAAGTTTGGTTTAGGTTTGTTTGTTTTAGGTTTGTTAAACGTTCTATTAACATCAAAGGTCTTTTAAGGACGTGCCCCCATGTGTGTCGTGCATGCGTGCTTGTGTGTGTGTATGTGTGTGACGATGCATAACAATGTACAGTAATTTCGCCTTTATGAAAAAGATTCTTGCATGGCAGAAACAGTTGTTTAAGTGGTATAGCACGCGTCATACTACCACCCGAGGTGGCAGATATTCCAGTGGTGTAGCAAGTTAAATATTGTTCAATAAATGTTAATTGATATATGTTTTCTTGTCTTACGTTTTTAGCTTTTACCCTACAATGAAGATGGAGACCAAGTTTGGCGAAGGAGTTGACGCTATGTACCTTATCCACGGCCACGTTGGCAATCTCAGTCGGGAGGCAATTTTGAAAAATCTTAGTAAGATATAATCATCTACAATATAAGTGAACGAATTCATACAAAGAACATAAACAATATTTAAAAGATGATGTTTGATTATGTTGCTTAAATGTCGGACACATTTTTGAACAGGAATATATTGTACATATTCGACCCTGCAATGATATATAACTTATTTCAATAATCATAAACGAATTTGATTGCAGTATAAGGTGGCTTAGCAAACGATGGGAAAATAATAATCAAACCTTTTTGAATCTCGCTTTATCTGTTCCATTCTTATATACAATAATATACTGTCGTATGCAGCATTAATCACCCTGCTGCCAGTTTCATGTAAATGTGTGTTGAACAGATAAGGTATATACATACACGGTTGCAAACTTATTCGACAACGAAAATGCGTTAACGACAAGTCATAACCTACATTTGCCATTTAGGGATCGTTGGTTTATATGATCAACTGGCCATACACACGAGTATCTTTTCCGAAAATATGTTAGCAATGATTATGAAGTATTCTGACATTGTTGACCAGGTAGAATACAGAAAGACATATTATTATATGAAACGTAAAATATGAAAAATATTCCTAATAACAGTACACCACGTTCAACGATAACAGCATTTTTATACTTCAAAACTGATCATAACTGTTATAAATTATTTTCATACAGGAAACATAATCAGTTCGAGGTTAGCAACCCAGAAAGACCAACCAGTCAACATTGCAGATTTTGGAACTGCAGACGGACAAGCGTCCCTTGCGATAGTCAATGAAATAATAGGTAAACATAATAATCTTAAACCAGAACTAAATGTCCGA